CTTACCTTCGTGTCGTGTATGACAGGTTTCAGAATCTGTTGTGTTGACTGTGTAAAAAGTTTTGCGTCACATGTTCCATCTAATTGTCGTTAATTCTGGAACAGGACTCGACCGGGACAGGAAATGTCCAGGGGGGTAAGTGTGCACTGTGTGACGTTCAGGTGTCGATGTTTGTGTCCGTTAGTTGAAAGAGTCGAAGCGGGCGGTGAACAGCATCCGAGGACTGGCGGACGAAGACGAGGACGAAGACGATGTTGAGAAAGTCAGCTGGAGCGGGGAGCCTGTCGGGAGTATGACATCATTACTGTTATTATGGCACCTGTGCAGAAAGCTGTGCTGTGATTGGCTGCAGCGTGAACCTCATTCTCCTGTGGTTCCTCAGGTATCTCCTGGTCGGTCAGAGAGACGGCAGCGTCCAATCAGAGGACAGATAGAGAGCCAGCCTTCCCAAAAATCAACACTGACACACAGACGATCAGCAAGAGTCACTCAGGATACTCACTGAGTTCTCTGTTCAAAGGTGATCAGGGGATCAGGGTCTGTTCTACGAAGTGAGTTCAACATATCCAGGAAACCTTTCAGGGATCCAGCTGACCTGAGCCTAACAGACGCGTCACATGACGCTGGTGACACATCTGGATTGTTTTTATAGTAAACTGTCGTTAACGAGTGGATCTGAAAATAATCTCGTCTGTGTCTCCATCAGTTACATGTATCGTCTCTGTGTGGGACAGTTTCAGTGGCTTCAAGCTCAGCTGGAGGAAAGAAAACACAAATATACTGTTAAGAAGGAAGTAGACTGATTTTCAAATCTTAACAATCGTCCAACGATCCACACCAGCACCGCGATCCTTCAAGAACATGATGTCATGGTTCAAGGGAAGTGATTGATCAGTGGGCGGAGCTTTTATGCTGTTTGATCTCTTATCTCCTTCTTAACCTAGAGCAGGTCAGCTGTTCAGCAGAAGTTACCATGGTGATTTACTCTGATAACAAGGGAACGAGCTTCGTAGGACGGAAAACTTTTAATTTAACCTGATAACCACTAATCCTGCTCCATGCTTCAGACTGATGATGGTTTGTTCTGATCCTCTGCAGGAAAAACTAAGGGAGGAAACTTTCAGCCCTTCACTGACTGTGAGTCAAACAGTGAGTGAGTGAGAGCGAGAGAGAAGAATAAATGGATAAAAGAAGTGATGAGTGGATTAATGAGGAAAAGATGGATGCTGATGTATTGTTTGTGTTTTAGCGCTCAGCGACTCGTCTGTCAGGCTCTACGCTCCAGAGCTCCGAAAACCTAAATCTGAGTACAAGGTAACACAGACACCGGTAATCTGATTACACACTGATGACATGATTACAAGATGTATGTCCTCATTAATGATGATGTCATTGTGTTGATGTCAGGACTATGTCAGTGATTGGTCACCTGAGGAGACGGTTCACAGAATGCAGCAAGGAAAGGTGAGAGCACCTGTCTGTCCGTCCGTCCGCCTGCTTGTCTGTTCACCTGTACAGTAAAATATAAAGTGTAGCAGTTTATAAACACAGTACAGTATTAAATATAAAGTGTAGTATACAGTATATGAAGTTTTGTGTAACTTCAGGGTATTTTGACTGCGTTGTGTTTACAGACTGTGTCTCTGGAGAAGTTTCGGTCTCTTCAGGACAAACTGTTTCTGTTGGACTTCGCCGTCAGCGCTCACGATGGAAACGTTATCACTGCTGTAACTTTATTAATAAATACATTCATACAATAGTAAACTTCATCAACAACTTCTTTCAGACAAATGACCATTTTGTTTTACAGATTCTGATTTATTTGAAGAGGACTCTGAGCAAAGGTGAGTCTGCGGTTGGTGAGCTCTGGGTCTGGACTGGTCCTGATCATCAGTCAGTCTTCTGACTCTTTGTGTTCTCGTGTTCAGAGGTTTTGTTTCGGGAGCTGGAGTCCAGACAAACGGCTCTGAGACATTTCATCCACTACCTGAGTGAAACCAGAGATCAGAAGCTGCTGCTGGAGCTTCTCAGGTGCTCGCACCAGTTTACACCAGTTCACACCAGTTCACACCAGTTCACACCAGTTTACACCAGTTTACACCAATTTGCACTTGTGTCCGTCTGTTCACACCTGGACACTGAGACTAACATTGATATCGTGTCCTTGGTCGGCAGGACTCTGGGCAGGATGGAGGACATGGTGGTATGTAGGACGCATGTCTCTCACACCTGCACTTCATCGTCTTGTCTGACAGGATACTGATGTCACTTCCCTTCTGTTTCCATGGAAACAGTTGCTGCAGTACAAAGAACACCTAAGCATCACAGATGAGAACAAGAGGCGGGACTTCCTGAAGAGATGCCTTAGGTGAGTGACACCTGCAGGCCAGTTGACTGAACTACAGTCAGATCCTGATGTGATGCCAGAGAGTGTGTTGGGCTCCGTGCACACCTGTTACTAACTGATCTGTGCTGAACGTGTTTCCTGTGACCGCTCTACATCCACTTGTGTTCGTTAGGACCAAACAATGTTTGCTTGTTGTTTCCAGTCTGGCGTTTTCTCCAGAGGACTCGGGACACGTCCAGGATCACTTCACTCTGTTGGAGCGACAGATCATCATCGAGGTTTAAACCTGATTCATGTCCTGAAATTTCCGTTTGTTCATCACATGTTCAACAACCGTGTTATCTCCAGGCAGCAGACGGACAGGCAGAGCGTGGAGGGAAGATGGAAATCTTCCAGAAGTTTCCTCGAAGAGCTTCAATCCTCAACATGCCGCTGATCACGACTCTGTACTACTGCTGCTTCTACCACTACAACGAGCCTGAGGTCTCTGCTTATACACTGTACCTTAAGATATATAGAAACGTGTGTAACGATAAGCACAGATATGTCTTTTAAATGTGTAATGATCAACACAGTAAACATGGAATAATTGAAGTTTTTTTTGTTTTTCAGGGAACATACAGCAGTCCACTGAACATCCGTCACACCTTCAGGGTGAGAGCGGCCGTCTTTACACATCGAACGCGAGAACGTATCGAATGTGAGAACGTATCGAACGTGTGAAATTATCGAACGTATCAAACGTGAGAACGTGTAATACGTGTTATTCGTGTAATACGTGTTATTCGTGTA